CATTTTCATACCTCCATGGGAAACTTCTTTACCTGAAACTAATTGTAGTATAATACACTGGAAAAGTGTACCATAGCAGGAGCTCAGTACAATAGCAGGAGCTCAGTCAGAATATGAATTCAATGTTTGTATATTCACATATTGTAATCAAGGAATGCCTCAAGTATGGAGTTAAAAGAGATCTTGCCTGGACATTTTAGCCAAATTGTATACCTAATTATGAAAAAACAAATTATGCAAAATATTTGTAATTTTGTAAACAAACTACTGACTTTTGTCAGTAATATTTGATTGCTTGTTTTTTAGTGGGGGGTTGGAAATGTTTGGCATATATGTGTCATTAACTTATACATTTTAAAGTATGCACATATTTAAAAGCTCACGTTCAGTTCCAGCCACTTGGGTTAGACACCAGTAGTGAAATAAAAATTTAAAATATTGCAACCCATAAAACACCACCATAATGAAAACACCTGCCACCTTTCTGTGGGAAGCTAACTAGTATAGGTAAAGTATCTGTTTAAATGCCAACAAATAATGATCTCTAAGAGTAAGTAGGAAATTAATATTAATTGCTATTGGGAAAATATTTCATTTATGCACACTCAACTTTTAAACAGTTACTGTGGCTACAAATACACAGAATACAATTATGTCTTATTCTACTTCCAGGTGAGAATTTGAACTTTAATTTTAAAGCTCTTAGGGGAGATAGAACTCCTTTGTTTTTGGCAATTTCAACTTGTAAATTCTGTCAACTACTCAGCAAAATAGGTACACATTTAGTTTCATTATTTGACACTGAATGAAAACTCCGAAGATCTTACTGTCCTTCCTCCCTTCTCGTCTTCCCTTTGCCATTCTTACTCCTCTTTCCTCTCTTTCTTCATCTCCTTCGACTTCGATGACTCTTACCAAACAGATGCATTTCGCATTAAGTACGTGAGCGGCACTATTCTAAGCTCTTTGCGTAGATTAATTCTGCTGACCTGAGCAATGACCCGAGGTAAGTACAGCTGTTGCTCCGTTTCTGCAGATGTGGCGATGAAACACCAAGAGGTGAATTTGCCCAAAGTTAGTGCAACTACGTATGGTATTAGCTTAGTTGTTTATTTTGTATACTGTGTAAGGAAAAACTTTGAATTCATGATGTAGATGAAACTAAGTGAAGTTTCTTTTTTACATAGGTTTACCTGTTAGCCAAAGTGCCTTTTTACCCTTATCTAACCTCTCTACCGATTTATTACTGCCCATTGGCCTCTTGCATAACCCAAGCAGAATCAGCGAGTATGCAGGTAAAAATAACTGGAAATACTGCAAGTGATACTGTTTAGACATAGTGGAAGACTATTTGTTAGGAATTAGACAGGGGCTTTCAAAATAGTAAGAATAATAATGATAATGACATAAAGAAGAAGAAACAGCATGTAACACCAACTAGGGTACAGGATGACAGAGTTCTGTAGGATGTTGTTTGATAGCTGAGCACACCTTAACCTAATTTACCTATGACCTCGTGTGGTATTTTTGTCTTCTGAAAATAATCGAAAAAATAAAAATATGTCCATGTCCGACGTCTTTAACGTTGAGGGAAAATTCTTATCTATGATTCTCAGAGAAACCTGTGGTTTTCCCCATATGTAAATTAGGCGTCATTTAAATAATAGGGAGATTACACAATTGCTTTGTGTAATAAAACAATTTAAACAAAGTTGATGCTCAAAAATAACTCAGAAAGGATGAGCGAGCCTAGAAAATTTAGTCAGTGTTCATGGCTGAATTTGGATAAGTTCAACCTTAATACACTCAGCAGAGCACAAAAACAAATCTTAAATTGTTAGAAAACACTGAAGGGTTTGTGATACTCAATTAATCCCCCCCCCGCCCCGGAAAGAGGAAGAAGATGGAGAGCGGAGGACAAAAAGAAGGGAAATGGTCCGAGAAAGGGTAGGTGTAAGGTGGTCAAATAATCATGGACACATTTTTCCACAAAAATTAATTTTACACTTTATTACATGCACACATTTAATTAAAATTATTTATATTTTATTAGACTACCCTAAATTAGAAGCTCCAAAATTTTAATCTTCAGGCTCGTGTTGTTTCATAATAAAACATTAGTGGCAAAATGACAAAAATTAGGATCTCAATATCCTTCAAACCACATTTCATTCCCAGGAATTTATTCTATTTTTACATGAAAATATAATTAGCTACAAAGATATGTATCACAACATTGTTTCATACATGTGACAAAAGGTAAAAGTAATCTAACCATTGACCAGAATTTCTATAATCTATCCAAGGGAATTGTATGCAGTCATGTATAGAAGTATATTCGTTGACATGAAAAAGATATTCATCAATTATTAAACAAGGAGGTTTTAAAGCAGTGTGTTTTCCATACAAGATATTTATGCGTGAATGGCTAGAAGATAATATTAGCAGTGGTCATTTCAGGATGGTGCAGGGAGATTTTTCTTTTCAATTTTATCTTTCCTCCCTTTTGTATTGTTTTACAACTAGAAATGAGAATGCATAAGTTATATAATAGCCTTGACCAAAGGATGAGACAGTGTTTAATTTCTGGGTATCTCATCCATAATTTCTGGATATTGTTGGCATTAACAAGACTTGAGATCTTTAAAGAGCTTTTCCTTTTGTGTTTCATAGCTAAATGTTTGAGAAAAGGGAGAAGAATTTCACATTTGTATGTAGTCCTATAACTGTTTGTGTATGTAGACATGGGAACACTAGTAAGCGTTAGTTTAATGAATAATGCTTTCACTGCTTAAAACATGGTTTTGCAATTCTTACCACTTAACAGTTGGGGAAGGTGAGTTACACTGTTGCTCCAGTCTGAGAAAAGGGAGACTGATGCTTGTGTACTTCATTGGTTGGGACAGGGTTATTCAGCTAATAAACTCAGGACTCTAAAATCAGATCTCTGTGCGTAACCTAACTCATAATGTTTTTGTTTTACATTTTTACATGCACTGTTACACACAAGTTCAGACAATTAAGTTTGTGAACTCATTCTGGAAACCATATTACATACCTCTTTGCTGAATATCACTATGGTCACCAGATGGCCAAAGGGACTACATGGAAGGTGGCTATAGTGATATTCATCAGTGAGGTATGTAGTACTTTCTCTAGGATGAGCTCATGAACTTAATTGTCCAACCTCATGTAATTGAAGGCAGATAAATGGCGTGCTCCGAAGAACACAGAGTGTTTTTAAAAAACATGCTAAGATGGTGGCCTAAGACATGCCACCATTGGGAATTTTGCCCTTGAGCAGACACTGGGACAGCCATGGGCAGCAGCTGTGATAAACAGCACCACTTCTAAAGGAGAGAAAGTGACTGGCCTGCGCTGACAATATTTGAGGAGTTATTTGAGCCACTGTGTTGAAAGTTTATCTAATTATAATGGCTGGTTCCTCTTGGATCCTCCTGGAAACATTCAGGGATTTAGATGAGTTGGCCTGAAAGCCGGAGGTTCACATCCAAGGTCCACGTGTTTTTGTGAATTTAACATTGGCAACAATATCTGGAACTTAGTTCTCATCTACAACTGGCAGTGTTTTGAACAATGTCCACCCATTTAGACACTTGTTTGAGAGAAGTAATCCAAATCCTATCAAAATAAGTATATTCATATCATCATGACAACTGTTAAAAATGATAACTATAATTTCTGTGCACTAATATGGGTTTATTTTGTGCCACTGTGTTTAATGAGCTAAGGATATATTTGAAGATTTTATCAGCCCAGTTGGCATCTCAAAGTTAATCTATTTGAAGACATCCCAAACTTATTATGTTTAAAACCTAATTCATCTTGGTCCTAACCCCCAGTTCACCTCCGACATTCCTTCCCAGTTAGTTACTGGCGACAGCATACATCCATTTGCTCAGACATAAAACCTCGGTGGGATCCTTGAGTGACACTCTCAAGTGTTGCCCTTGAGTTGCTCTCCATCAGCAAATCCTGTTGCCTTTACCTACAGAGCGTACCCTCCACTGCTTCCACTCTCAATCAAGCCACCTGAATGTTGGCAGAAGCCTCCTAACTGGTTTTCCCACTCTGTCCTATATCCCTTTCCTGCATTCACAATGCAAACGACTCCCTTTAACCTACGTCAGCTCATATCACTGCTCGGATCACATGCACCCAAACCCTTCCCCTCTTTTCACATAGATGCCAATCATCCCAATGTCCAACCAGACTTCCTATTAGCTCTCCAGACCGTTCCCTTCCATCTACTCTGCCCTCTCTGCTGTTCCAGGCACACTGCCCTCTGTGTTTCTCCTCAGCCCCAGGTGCATCTCTGCCTTCCCCTTTGTGCTGTTCCTTGCTCTGCACAGAGCACATGTTATGAGATCGTGCCTGGCTACTTAAGGCCATGAGCATCTTCAGGCTTTACTCGAATGCCAGCTTCTCAGTGAGGCCCTCCTGGTGGTTGTACCTGAGTGCCCCACCCCCTACTCTTCCTTATTTTCTCCAAACCACTTTTACTACTATACATAACTTATGAGTGTCATGCCTTGCTAGTCTCTCTTCTTACAGTGTATGTGTTCAAGAAGTCAGAATCTTTGTTTCACTAAAGAGTGTACTAGTGGCTAGAACTGGGACACTGCCGGCACATGTAGGGACTCAACATGTATTTGATGAATATTTAGTAAACCAAAGTTATTTAATTGGTGGCACTTAAGATCATATATTGAATTGAGCATTAAAGTACTATATAGAAATGTGAGTTATGCTAAAATATACTTAAATATATCATTTTAATTTAGGGAGAGAGTGTGACATAATTTCCACTAATCACTAGACTTCTAGGTACCTGATGGTCATTTAAACAAATTTGCCAAAAGAAATCCTTTTTCAGATATTAAAAAAACATTACTTATACGTCATACAACCATTAAAGCTACAGTAGCTATTTTTTAAATGTTAACTCTTCCCTCCTGTCTCTTGTTTTCATTTTTCAGAAAAGAGGCCCAGTTAGATGAAGAAGGACAATTTCTGGTCAGAATAATATATGATGATTCCAAAACGTATGATTTGGTTGCTGCTGCAAGCAAAGTCCTCAGTAAGTTGGATGTAATGTTCCTTCCTTGGCTAAGTTACCTGCAGAAGCCCAAAGGATCGTGTGACTCAAGATCACAATGTATGGTTATGCAAGTTGCGCACTGCACAACTCTGGTGGGGTGGACATTCATATGCGATGTTAGGCTCGAGCTCTGCTGAGTTCTATTTTTTTCATTATAAGCTCTTTGAAGAATAGAAACGAAAGAACCATGCTCTCTGCCCCTTCCCACAGAGGGCAATGTATTGGGAATAGAAAAAAGTTATTGATACTTAACATAACAGCCTCAGTTATGATGTGAACAATATGTAAATTACATAAGTGTAACAGGTGTTATCCCCAAATCTTTTTGGTAATAAGTAGTGATAAAAGAAACAGGAAACTAACCACCGTCCCAAGATCTTGCTGAAGAAGGCAACCTTTAAAAAACTTCATGGAGGCTCGGCGCCTATAGCTCAACTGGCTAAGGCGCCAGCCATGTACATCTAAGGTGGCAGGTTCGAATCCCCAGCCTGGACCCGCCAAACAACAACGACAGCTGCAACCAAAAAAAAAAAAAAAA